CTATACTTTGGTATCTTCAAAGTGGCTTCTAAAGAAAATAAATAGAGCTATACATGAGTGACCTATTGAATAATCATTAACTATTCTCAATGGTCATTGTAAGAAACACATAATAATAAACATACATCCATTTATGAAATAGGATAGGAACAATACAAACATTACAGAGTTATGGGTAGATTAGAAGGAAAATATCAATGGCTGCTGTAATACATGGTAGTATCAAAAAAGTGGTTTCTCAGGAAGACAGAGGTACGCAAGAAGTATGTGTTTTTTAACTTGGGTAAATGGCTTCAGTGTCATCAGTTACGTGGAATGCTGCTACACAGTCACAAAGGTTACTTAGAAAGTCTCAGCTCAGTCACTGATGTAACTAGTGTGAAAAGTTCTTGCTTTCAATATGGTCATGTGCAAACAGGGAACTCCCCTGCCCCGAGGTGACCACTTGCTTAAGAGTCCCATTAAGGAGAGGCTATTGTTATGTTTTAGAGTTTAGAACAAGTCAATAAGGCCATGGAAGTAAGTAAGAGGCATCAGCAGACAATTAGGGCTGACTCCCATGTATATTGAGGCAGGCTTTCCTTGTCAGCTGTGCACCTTGGGGAAGGAGGGAACTTGGGAGCCATGATACCAGGTCGTCGGTTCATCCCGTGGGAAAACCACAGGGAAAGTTGTGAGTTCTTAAAATATACAACTCTTTCATACTGGGTAGAAAAATAGTTTATTCGAAACACAGGCAACTGTCAACAAAAACAAATACAAAATTGATAGCCCGTTTATACAGAGCATGACTTTGGAAGGCATTGTGTTTAAATTCTCTATATTAAACTGTGTGCTTTGGTGTACTTAAAAGGTATAATCGTTAGATTTTTAAAAATTAAATGTTTAAACAAATATACCAGAACTTTGATGTACAAATGAGTAGTGTCTACTAAAGCAGTTACCTAGCTGAATTCGAGCTGGTATTCAATTGTCCTGTCACCGTTCAATCACCTTCAAAGACAGTTTACACACGGAAACCAACCTTATTCATTCAGTTTTAATTCTTAAAAATCCAAAATAGTGCTTAATTTGATCCCTCAACTTATTTAGTAGCCTTGGTTTATATCACTTTAGGTTTTAAAAATTATAATAATGTATCAAGCTTGTTCTCTGAAAGTAGATTTGCCAGCAGGAGGGATATTTAAAGTAGTTTGTTTTAGACTAACAGCATTCCCAAAAGAAGCATTCAATTTTTTCCCTATGCTTTGATGGAATAAAGAAGACAATTTTCTCGAGTTTATAAGTACTGTTTTTTTTAAGGTGATCATATTGCTTTCATAGTCTCTAAGAACAAAATAAACTAAATTTGTATTCTCATCTCTGGGGCTCCCAAATATAAGAACAAAAGCTTCAAATAAAATCAAACAAAATAAATTTTAACAAATTTAGAATGGACCATGGTTGTTAAACAGATATTTACACTGCAAGGAAATGTAAGTGATGCTCAACCTGGCAGGTATTTGGTTGGCTAACCACCTGCCAGCTCTTATTATGGTTGTGCTAATCAGATCGCTTAAGAGGTAAGTAGGGAAGGGTGTATGCATGTGTGTTTGCATGTGTAATGTGCTATGGAGCCAAAGGAAGTAAGGGAGATATAGGACAGAGGAGAGCACAATATAAAAATATTCATTTCCTTCACAATGGGCCACATGATCAATCACTGCATCACAGATTACTAACCTGATAGAAAGAATGAAAGCTTCTTTCCCCTGGCTGTTGCACAATCACTCGAGACTAAGAAAAAAACACATTAAAATGGTTTACCTGAAACTGTTAAGAATTCTTAAGAGTTTTTTTTTTTTTAATCTACAAACAGTACATAATTTAAATAGCCTAAAGACTCTATGTGGTACTCATCTAAGACCAGGCCTTCTTGAGTTTTCTTGGCAATTTTTTACTAATTCACTCAACTGCTTAAAACAGAGGTCACTAAACTTTCTGAAGACTGGAGGTGTTTTGATTTTTTTTTTTTTTTAATCTAGAACCTTGAGATGGTTCTTTGTGAGTTCTAGGTCCTGGAGTGGGGAGAACAGAAAGGAATGCCTAGGGAGAAATATGCTCAATATTCCTTTCCCTGAGGGCTTCTAGTCTTATATCCTGCAATAAAGTCAGTTGGGCAAGTTCACCCCATAGGGACCCTTGCCTTACATGGTTCCAAAAGACTACTGTTAGGAGAGGGCTCAAAACATGTATTCAAAGAGTTCCTTTTGATTGAATATGTACATACAGTGACACGAGGAGACATTCTGGGGGAAAGGATGGATAATACTTGGCATTTCCTGTCCTTTTTCAACTGACTATGATAAGGAATCCTTAAGAGTCTGACCTTTATTTAACAACTGAAAATAGAGATTATTTTGTCTTATGCTGCCATAAAAAATGGATTGGAGTAACTGGGACAGGTAAACCCTTAACTGACAAGGCACTGTCAGCTTAGGTCAGAGCATAACTCAAGGTGGAGATTCTATATGTGAAGCACAAGCTGAACCGTGAAACTCAGGGGAATGAATACCACATGTGTCCTTGCACTCAGGTGCAGTTAGGACACACTGGCAATCCCAAGGGGTAAGTTTTAATTGAACTTTTCTAGAAACTGGGCCTAACATTCACATAGGCAGATGTGAATGTATTTTAAGTTTTCACTGATCAAACAGGGTATGCTTCATGATTAGGTAAGATCACAAAATACATGGATGATGCTATGAAACAGTGAATGAAGAGAATCTAGAAACTTCCAATTAGTTGAAATTAAAATGGATAGAAGAGGATGATGGATAGAAAGCCTTGACCTAATTAGTCCTAGACTGGCTTCTGGTTAAACCTTACTCAAAAGTTGGCACATACTCATATCCTTGCCTCCCTCTATACGCACGCCTAAATCCATGCCTAGGAAGGTGGTTACTTAATACTGGAAGTGCTAACAAAAGAACACAAAGGGCACCATCTTACCACAGAAAGCTAATTTGAGGATGGTAAACAGTATTAAAAGCTAGTTTAAGGCAATAAATGAGATTTTACATATTAAATCAAGCATTTTTTAAGCATTCAGCACTTATAAATATTATCCTCAGAAATTAAGCACATCTTACCTTCTCCAGTAAGTAGTTATTGATATGTCCACCAATAGGATCTCCTTTGAAGTCAAAGTTGATATCCATGTATTTTCCAAACCTGCTTGAGTTGTCATTACGATTGGTTTTGGCATTTCCAAAAGCTTCCAAAACACAGTTGGACTTAAGCAACATATTCTTCACTCTTTAACACAGACACATAACAGTCACCATAAAAGGTTTCAGAGACTAGGACTTGTAAAAAACTAGAGTTCGCTAAAACACATGCAAACATTTATACAAAGCTGCTGACTGCAATACTGTTTCAATATTAAAAAAATACAAACAACTGAAGTGGAAACCAAATGGGACAGATAAAAATATATTTCTGTTCCCCAATATAGTGAAATGCTATGAAAATGTTAAAAAGAAAGTACCTTATATATACTAACATAGGACGATGTCCAGAATATATGATGGATATGAAAACGGATGGAAAAGTAGTATGTGTTGCAGGTTTTTTGTGTGCCTGCACATGCATTTGAGTGTCCCGTACACCTATACAGTACATATGTTACAATCTGGAGGGAACAGCACATGTCACTATGGTTATGTAGGCGAGAGGGTGATGCAATGGTGAGAGGCAATGGTGAGATTTCAGGCAATTTTTACCTTCAACTTCATTCTGTAATGTTTTGTTTTTTCTTGGAACTGAACATGTTTTATTTACATAAGGAAAACATTTAAAAAGCTATGTTCTGAAAAGAAAGAGAACAGGTGATAGAGAAAAGATAAAACATTTTAAAGTACTTGCTTATGAAGTTTAGAATGGTGGAATTTTATTGCACTTGGTTATGCATCATAAATTCAGTCTTTACTAACTGGAGAATTGTTCATTGTTTTCTTTGAAGCTGTATGTGATCTGTCCTTTGTACCAGTCACTTAATGCACTCTCGTTTCAATGGATGTTAACATTCTGTAGAGCAGCCCCTCCCAATGGACATGTCCTAACTTCAAGCTTCTCTTTATGTCCTTATTTTTATTTCACTGACAAAATCATATCTGCAGAATTAACTGTGGCTTCTGAAATAACCTGATATAGCATATCTAGTTCTTCCCACGGATACCACAAATGATCCTTTATTTCCTCATGATTGAAAGTACTGTATGCTTTTAAAGTTGGGGGGCACTGCTTGCTTGCTTGCTTAGAAAGGAAGCTGTGTGAGCTATTAAGATACTCCTGTGAAAGACTAGTAAATTTACATAGGCCTTACTGTACTAGACAGTACTAGAATTAAAATTAAATTAGTTTTCTGCTACTCTCCCAACCTCTTAAATGAATTAAGAAACTTGTTCAAATGTTTGTCCCATCTAATTAGACTGCAAAATCAGAATCAGAAGTGGGGCTCTGTCAAAATCAATTGTTCTAGCAATTCTGCCCAACTGTAATGAAAAGAGAAAGCCCATATAGGGCTCTTGAGTGTAAACTCTCTTCTTTCACATCAACCCAGAAACTTGTCTTTTTGTTCACAAAACAAAAGGCTGTGATGTGGACATGAGGTGGAATTCTTCAGTAAATTAATATTCATTTTTAAAGCAGCTAATTAGGAAAACGTTTTTCTTTTCTTTTCAAAAAAGCTACATCACATTAAAAAAAAATCATGTCACATTGGTTGTGGTGGATTGACAACTTGTGGGCAACTCATAACACCCAGCTGAACTGAATCAGTGTGGTGCTGGATGTGGAAGGCCCATTTGAGGACCGCTGCCAACAGCATAAAAAGGAGAACTGGAGAAGAAGGGGTACTGTTGGTTCTCCTGGAGCAGCTTGTCGTGCTGGCTTTCCTGGTGTGAACTTGGCTGTTCTCACTGTCAGAGGAGCTCGGGACCTCACTGTCGCTGAGGATGGTTGTAGTACTTTTTGGGGAAGCTGTGGTCCTTAGAGTGTTGCTTCCTGGCTCCAGTGCAGATCCCTCAGCTTGCTAGCACAGATCCTTCATCCTGCTGGCACAGACTTTCTAGCTTCCACCACTGACCTTTGTGCCTTCCCAGCGCAGATTCATGTATCAGACTTGCATGAGGCATTGTTATGGGCTCTAGGTCTTCAGCTGGACTGATGCAGGACATTGCCAGAGGATCCAGGCCCTCAACTGGATTCTTTGGGTCTACAGTGTATGGACAGACTTCCCGCACTCTTTTGCATATGACTCTTTGAGAGACTATTATAAAATAATCCTATAAATTATGTGTCCTGTATTGTTTTCCATGGAAACCCTGACTACAACATTGGTTTACAGCCAAATGCTTTAAAACCCACTCATTTACTCCTTGCATAGTTATTAAACAAAACTGCCTATGTGCCCAAACTGCCTAAACCAGGGGCCCCAGCTGGGTAAGGAGTAGTACACAAGAGCACTCTGGGAGCCTGGGGCAAGAGGCATACAAATTCAAGTGTGGGTAAGTTAGTGAGACCTCGTCTGAAAATAAAAATAAATTAAAAAGGACTGATGATATAGCTTGATGTGAAAGAACCTGGTTCAATTCCCAGTACTGAAAAAAAATGTGGGGCCCCAGATGGTACAGACCAGCTTTACTGCTCATCTCACCATGAGCAGCGACCTGCGATGGCATGAGACCCTTTTAGAAGTGATTCTTACCGGGGATGCCCCCAGTGGTGGGTGCTGCTCATTACAATGATGGGAAGGCACGGATCTGCCATCCACAGTCCTGCCTCACTCAGAATATAACTTAAAAAACAAAGAGCAAGGAACCTAGCTTAAATAGTAAAACCTCCCAGTATAAATTATACCAATTCTGCTGACCACAGTTATAAACTAAAATGGGGATACTTTTAACTGGTTCAGAGTAGTCTTTTAAAAAACAATTTGCTAAAACTTACCTGAGTAGTATTTTTCTACTAAAAAGCAAATCTAGAAATGGATACAGTGATGTAACTAAAAGTAGAGGCACAATATGCAGTCTGATAATCGAAGCAGATTAATGATTAAAAAATACTTGGCACATGCAGCTTAAGCCTAGCTGAACCCGCACAGAAAACAAAGCTCTCCTCAGTTTTTCCCACTGTGCAGTGCTCTTACCTTTCCACCTCTGCTCTCTGGCTAGGGTTGGTGATGGCCGCAATGTACTGCATAATGTACTTACTGGCTTCCGTTTTACCAGCTCCACTTTCCCCTAGAGGGAAGAATTTACCATTACAATTGAAACCAAGCGTAAAGTAATTTCCATAGAATAACTTTAAATTTTGGTGTTATTCAGTTAAATTCCTCTTGTTGCCCTCTTTCCTTTTTTTTTTTTTTTTTTTTTTAAATTACTTTGTCCTATACTGGTTTTAACAGATTTGAACATGTTGGGGGAAAAACTATTATAGAACTAAAATCAAGCACAGACCACAAAATGAGACTTGCTAGGAAAACAGTATCAAGGTGTAAATTGTGGCAAATGCATGCCTGTAATCCCTGCTCTCTGGGAGGCTGAGGCAGGAGGATTAGAAGTTTGAACCCTGCCTGAGAAACTCAACATTCATCAACAGTGATACAGCAAGACCTTGTGTCAAAATAAAATAAAAAAGGACTGAGGATATAGCTCAGTGCAAAACCCTTGGGTTCAATCTCCAGTACTGGGGGAATAAACTGTCCTGATCTAAATCCTTAGAGTTTACTACTAGGCAATGATCCCTAAGTCTAGTACAAACAAAATTAGGTAATGGCCACAGCTAAATTCATATAATCTTATTTTCAATATATATATATTTCAATTTCGAAGGTGATAACATAATTGTTTTTTTAAAAAAAGTAAATTTAGAGCCAGATGCCATGGCATATAACTAGAGAACCAGTTACTCAAGGGGTCGGGGAGCTAAGACAGAAGGATTGCTGAGACCAGGAGCGCAAGACCAGCCAGGGCAAAATAGTGAGACCCCGACTCTAACAAAAACAAACAAACAAAACAACTTAGAGTGATTTTAGAGAACATGTAAAATAGCAAGCTCCAGATATATCATAAAAAAAGCACACCAATGAGGATAAGTAGTGGTGGAAGAGGGATGGGATCCATTTGCAAGTTCTGCCTATATCTTCTCACTCAAATATTTCACTGACAGAAGCTTCTCCTACGGAAATATTACACAACACTAACATAATCAAGTAAGAGCAACAATACTCTTCAAGGGCTTAAAAAAATGTTCTGTAGATCACACTGTATGCTGTAGCTACAATCTGAAAATAATAACCCTATCAGTAGAGAACTGGGTAAATAAGTTAGGACTCAATAATTCAGCGGCCCACTACATGACTGTTCAAAGACTACGTGCAGTTCTAGAGGAAGTCTAATGAATCGATGCCCACAATACGCTGCAGAATGGAGAAACAAGTTCTGTAGTAGCAAGTGTAATTCTGCGATTCCATGTTTTTATTTTTCTTTACAATTTTTATTTTTTATTATTAGTACATTTAGAGAACACAATGATTACCTTCTTTGTGGGGAGTTGGTATATTAACACAACGCATCTTAATTTTTTTCATTCCCTTCTCTTCCTCTCCTTTTCCCCCCTCTTTCCATCCTTCCCTTTTGAAGAAGATCTATCTCCCTATCTTTTCATTTGGTCTTTATTTTGGGTTTCTCATATTTAAGCTTATGTGTCTGATGTATTTTACTTAACATTATGGGATCAAGATGTATCTGTTTTCCCATAAATGACTCAAAGTTTATCTTCTTTATGGCAAAGTAGTACTCTGTTGTGTATAAATACCACTTTTCCTTATCCATTCATCTGTTGATGGACATATAAGCCACTTCCAAGATTTAGCTATTGTGAACTGTACTGCTATAAACATGGGTATGCACATATCACTGTAATATGATCTCTTTGGTAAGATACAGAAGGGGAATAGTTGTGTCAAATGAATAGTTTTAGGTTTTTGAGGAATCTCTACACTGATTTCCATAATGGTTTACTGGTTTACATTTCCATCAGTAATGTAGCAGGGTTCCCTTTCCCCACAGCCTTGCTACCACGTACTGTTATTTTCTTTCTGGAATAAGATGGAATCTCAGTATTGTTTTAGTTTGAATTTCTCTATTGGCCAGTGATGTTGAACATTTTTTTCATATCTATTGGCCATTTGTACTTCTGAGAAGTGTTTATTCATTTCAGTTGCCCAGTTTTGATTGGGTCTTTTATTCTGGGGAGTCAATTTTTTTGAGTTCTTTATATATTCTAGGTATCAGTCCTCTGTCCTCTGTTTGAGGAATAGCTGGCAGATTTTTTTTCTCATTTTGCAGGTTGTCTCTTCATTCTGTTTTTGGTTGTTTCCTTTGCTGTGCAGCGACATTTTAATTTGATATTATCCCATTTATTGATTCTTGATGTTATTTCTTGTGCAACTGGGGCTCTGTTCAAAAAGTCCTTGCCTATGTCTATGACTTTGAGAGTTTTACCTATTTTATGTTTTAGCAGATTAAGTGTTTCTGTTTTAGTATTTAGATCTTTGATCCATTTTGATTTTAGTTTAGTACATGGTGAGCTAGATGGGTCTAGATTCAATCTTCTGCACGTGGATAGCCAGTTTTCCCAGCACCACTTATTAAGCAGAACCAATATAGTACAAATGGGCATACTCCCAAAGCTGATGTACAAATTTAACATAACCCCAATCAAAATACCAACAGCATTCAACATAAAAATAGGTAAAACAATACTAAAATTCCTACAGAACCACCAGAGACCCAGAATATAAAAGCAATCCTGAGCAACAAAGCATAGGATGAAGAACCACAACCCTGGACTTAGCTGTTTTTACTATATATATACAGCTCTGTGTACTTGCATACACAGAAGCATATATAAAAGGATAGATACTAAACAGCTGTTACCGCTGGAAAGGTGGGGAACCAAAATATTCAAGAGAGACTCTGCTTTTATTTCAAATATCTATCTAACTGCACCCCCTGCCTACACATCTGGGCAATACTGTTTATATAACCTGATTTAACCTAGGATACAATTCTTGCACTCCAACAAAGAAAAACAACTATTCTACGTTGCTAACCAAAATAAAATACTGATCATAAAAGATATCTTTTCCCCATTACTGGGAGTGGAACCCAGAGCCTCGTACATATTAGGCAAGCACTCTACTCAGCTATAGCCCTCCCTAAAAGTGTTATTAAAAAGTGCAGACCCACTAATGCAAATATGAGGTATTACGAACACTGAAAGAAACTACCATAGTTGGAAGAGGACACTGTGGGTCAGCAAGCAGATCCTCCGCTCTGGTCCTTACTTAACAGCACGAGGTGCCCTGAAGGGCTCAGCGTGCTGTGGGTAGGGTGGCTCTCCTTCTCCAACACGGCCCGGCAACTCACACCCTCCCTCTTGGGCTTTGAAAACTTGGGCCCTGTGCTCTGAAGCCCGTGTCTGGCCCCTAGGCCTCCACCTGTCCTCCACAACAGCTCCCAAGCACCTGCCTGACTTTAACTCAGTTTTCATATTTGGCACCTAAATATTTCATTCTTTTGTTTTCACTCTTACTATTTAAAATACTTGTTACGCTTCATCTGTTTGAGGTAGGAAGCATATTCCATGCTAGCTCTGTCTACAAACTAATCAGACATCATGCAAGTACATGATATATATGTGTATGTATGTGTATATATATGTGTGTGTATGCATATAAAATGTGTATACATTTTCTCTGTAATATGTATATATGTATATACATGTATATGTGTGTGTGTATATATAAAAGAGATGGGGTCTTGCTGTGTCGCCCAGGCTGGCCTTATACTCCTGGACTCAAGTGGTCCTCCTGCCTAGAACCAAGACAGGATGATCAGAAATGTATAGAGAATTTGTTATTTAAGGAACCTCCCTTTCTTTTAGTCTACAAAGTTGCTTAGGTTTTTAACCTTTAAAAAAAAGATTTCATCAGTTATGTAAGATGCTTAAGTATCAAATCAGTTAAATGCATTTTGACCTTGGCTGTACCAACGGCTGTACCAACGGCCCTCTCTGAATACCTGATATAACAATACAGGTGTCTTTTGATCGCCTCTTCATAGCCTTGTATGCAGCATCAGCAATAGCGAAGAGATGAGGTGGTCTCTCATACAGCTCACGCCCTTTGTACTGCTCAATTGTGTCCCTCCCATAGATGTTCAGCAACTTGTAAGGATTCACAGAGACAACGACTTCTCCAATAAATGTATAGATGCGTCCTTTCTCAAATCTGCACAAGAACAAAAGAAAGAAAACACATTGCTGTGGTTATAGAGAAATGCTATTTCTTTCCTGTAAGTCTCTTATCTCCAAGCAAGTCCAAATATCCCAGGAGCAGTTTCTGAACTGACTTTTCACTGGATCTCAGTTTACTTTGAGAGACCATATTTGAGGATATGCCATTCAAATGTCACTAGTAGAAAAGACCAGTAAGGGTTAAAAGCTAGGCAAGAGGAAGAATTTAACTTCTGAGAGGCTAGGGATTTCCTGTTTCCAAAATACAGAAGGGTAAGAAGAGGGAAAAAAAAATAGCTGAAAAAAAACCTCAGAGCTCTAGGAAGAAAAGAAACAGAAGTTTAATCAGGTCTCGAAATTCACTTAGCTGAATTTTCAATTATAAAGAAGCCTGTCCATATATATTTGTTTTTTCTCCCTCTTAAAACCTCACTAAAATGTCAGGAAGAGAATAAGAACAGTAAAATCCATAACAGAGAATGGCAGAGGAAACATTTCTGGTATAAATCAAATTTATTTATTTATTAGTGATTGCCTAAAATCCTATGATGTAGGTATATCGTGATTTTCTCAATGATCCCCTTCCCTCTTGTTTCCATAAACAATACCGCAGAAAAATATGCTGGACACATAATCATACAAATCAGTGCCTTAATAAAGAAAGATTTTCAGGAATGAGGTTGGACTGCTGTGAAAAGGTAAGTGTATTTTTAAAAATACATGTAACATGATTCTATCTTCACCATAAAGCAAAGGTTAAAAAGTTTTCCCATGTGTGCATTTCTGTACACAGATATATTAATAATAGATGTGTTTAATAAGTGAGTACAAGAGCATAGGAAAATATGGATGAAGACATGTTATATTTTGTGCATCCTTGCATACACAGGTAATGAGATGGGGGGAAATGAGTGAGAAGGCTATGCAGGCAGGTGGGAGGAGGACACAGACACAAAGAAAACAGTAAAAAGTCCCATGACTGCATCTGTAAATATAGAGACACATATATTTGCACAAGAAAAGAAATTAAACATCAAACTTCATAAACATGTTTGTATCCACTATTTACAAGGTAATCCACACTTATAAACACATGTGAACCAGAGCCTGACCACTTCTACCCAAGTGGCTGCCTCTGGCACACTCCTCATGCTGATGGGCGTGCCTAGATACCAATGTTGTGGGAGACTGGTTCTAGGATCCACTGCAGATACCTGTCTTTGTGGATGCTCAACTCACTCATATAAAATTTCACACTATTTGCACAGACCCTACATATATCCTCCTATATACTCTAAATCCTAAGTTACTTATAATACCTAACACAGTGTAAATGCTATACAAATAGTTGTTATTCTGTATTGTTTAGGAGATAATGAGATGCAAAAAAATCTATAAATGTTCAGTAAAGATACAGTTATTTTCCTATTTTTTTTTTTTTTTTTTTTTACCTACAGGTGGTTGAATTAGAAGACACAATGGATGGATACAGATGGAGAACTGTGTCTCACTTCTAAGGGTTGAATGCAGGCAGCAGTGATTCACATCGGTGAAATGCTGGTCCTCAGACAGCGTATCTTTAAGCACTCTTGTTGTGTGGCCCAAGGGGCAGGAAAAATGACTAAGCATTTGGGACCAACCAGAAAGATTCTTAAACTTCCTTTAAACTGGAATGAAGGATGTGTGCTATAATTAGGAGTGGAAAGAAACAGATGCAGATAATGTCAACAATAAATTAAAACCAAGATTTTTATCAAGCAGTTAGTATGTTATTAACTGCTTTGAGGTTTCCTGTGCATTTTTCCACTGTGATTTTCCTATGTATCCTCCCTATTGTTAGAAAGTTTATATGGTATCTGGAAGTATAGACTCTGGAGTCCTTCACATCTGGGTCTGAATGCTTACGTTTACAAACTTAATACAGTGAGACCTTGTGAAAACCACTTAACCTCCATGTATTTCAGCTTCTCCATCTGTAAAATGGTAATAATTGTACCCTCTACCCCTGTGGCATGGACTAAATGCTTTTTTAAAAAAATCATTTAATCTTATACTTCTGATTATGTTATGCATGAAAGAATTTTTAATGCTTTTATTTTATGAACATTGCTTACTGGAGTTACAACAATCCAAATTAACTTAATTCCCAGTCAATTAATTCTAAGTCACCAGTAGAATGTCTACACAACTCATGTTTAAAGACCTATGATAATAATGAAAAAATAAGATTCTTCACTCATGTCTTTCTGGCTTAACCTGCATATTAGCAGTACACTCACAAGGTACCTCCATCCAAGGAAAACAATTAAAAGGATGAAGGGGCTGGGGATTTAGCTCAGCGGCAAAGTGCCTGCCCGGCAAGCGCAAGGTCGTGAGTTCGGTTCCCGGTACCGGAGAAAAACCAAAAAAAAAACCAAAAAAAACCCCAAAAATAACAGGATGAGATTCCCCAAACAGAAAAAAATGATGAAAAGGAGCAAAAGAATTTTACAAGAAAGTTACTTCATGAGCCTAATACTTGTGACTAGGGATGACAGCAAATGTGTCTGAGTTAGAATACGGTTCTAGGATTCCAGGCTTGTCCAAGAATGTACTTTGCTTCTCAGTGGATGATTCCTGGAGCCATTAATACACAATTCTTCTCTAAAGCTGTATATTAGTTCATATAAAATCGTTTCTTTATCAAAATCTCTAGGCATCATGTTTACAAAATACAGTTAAAATACCTGCATAAAATCATTATCATACATCATGCATAACTATTAACTTGAAGATAGTGGCAGAGGCTCAACAAAATACAATATTAAATACACTGCTTCAGCAATTTGGAAAATATTAAAAGCTCATCTTATTTGAAATTTTAAATTTGGTTAACAGAAAGATGAAATTTTCAATTTGGGTATGCCTCAAAATCACCACTAGATGGTGCCAGTATGCCCTTTATCAACAACCCAGGATTTCCGGCAGCTTTGGAAAGCTTCAGGGTAAAATACAATCAGGAAGGTCATGCAGCCACCTGTACTGTTCGTCTCCAGAAGGAACAGCAATAATTACTCTAGATAACAAACAAAGTGATGCCATCTCTTAGGAGAGAACAAGGAGGATGTTTCTATGACCTTTGTGCGTAAACGTTTTAGGACAAACTTTTATAATTCATTCTTCAAATATTTATTCAGTTCCCGCTCTATGCCAGACAATGGGCCAAATCCAATCTGTGAGTTAAAAGTAAGCAAACTGAGAAAACGTACTCAATAAATATAACCAACAGAATATGATAGGCATAAAAATAAAAACATAAACTGTAGTGGCAAAAATTACCCTAGCAGACCACTGAATGAAGGAATCCCAACCCCCCCACACTGCTCCCCGCTGGACTCCAAACCTCCAACATTTCCGCCTACCAACATCTCCGCCTGCCATCTCCCTGTCTCTGTCACTCTCACCCTCACATGAAGGAGTTATTTTCAGCTCTCGACAGCACCATGCTTTCGCGGTTTTGCCCATGGGGTTCACTCTGCCCGCAGTACCTTTCCCAGTCTCTTCCTCCCGCACGTGCTTGGCAGATACCCACTCCTCCTTCACTTCTTCTCCAGTTAACTCTGGTATGAGGATCTTCGCTCTGCTCATTTCTTTTTTACCTTCAGAGCTCTCCAAATGGCTAAACTGGCTTAATAACCACTGCTTAAAACAACAAACAACTTAATGTTTACAAACAGTTATGGAAAGGGGCAGATATTTTCATTGGCTTTTAAATGAAGCAAAGAGGTCCTAAAAAGTTTTGAATTAATGCTAGTAATGGAGAAGATACAAAGGCAATGTCTTTGGAGAATAACAGCCCTTTGTATGGAAACTGAGACAGCTTTTTTTTTTTTTTAAGGTAGTGTCATTAACTTGCATGTGTTACTTGTACACAAGATCATCTATGGCAGGAAGTCAAAATGTGAGTGGCTCCTGATGGAGCAGACTGTATACCCAGCCCTCCAGAGAAGTGTGCATGTGTGTGTTTGTGTGTGCTTGTGTGTATAGCAGGAAGGTGGTTGGCCCAAGCAGAGCAGAAAGCTTGTTACAGTCTATTAGTGAAATAGTTGAAAATTTATGATGGAATTGGAAATGATATGACAGATTTCAAACGCCAAGCAGAAGAAGTTAGATCTCCAGCCCTTTAAAATGTTTTTTATTTTGAGACTAAGTTGCTCAGTTGCCCAGAGTAGGCTCAAACTTATGATCCTCCTGCTTCAGCCTCCTCAAGTCCTGAGATTACAAGCCTGAGCCACCACACCTGGCTTAGGCTAAGGAAGTGCAAATTTGATCTGTCTACAAACAAGAAATTAGCAAAAAGTTTTCAATGTAAACAGACCAATAAGGTTTTCAGTGATGGCCATGACAACAGAAATTAGGGAAAGAGATTATTTCAAGGGGAAACTGGACAGAATTTGAAAACTTACTGAACAGATTGAATTGGGCATAAGAGCAAAAGGAATTTGTTTATTTCAGATTATATTTCATATGTACTTCTGAGCTTCTAATTAGACGTACCCACTAACAGGATTGTTACCCTTGGTTGACTTTTTGAAATACAAGAATTAAATTCATGAATCGAGGTACTGCTGTACATGAAACCAATTATAATCAGAAGGAAAATTCTCTGTGGTCTACTGTATATTTAATAAACTCTTTAATCATAAGTATTACTCATTTGTTTCATGAAGAACATATAACTTTCTGAATGGGTTTTGCTTAATCACACTGATTTGACCTAATTTCTTTCCCTGTTCAATGCAAATAAGATCTTAAAGGCTGAGATCATCGCTGGTTTTCAGATGTTCAGCTACTCACCCCCCCCCCTTTTGCCATTATGTTGTCAACCAAGTGCAATCTGGTTGCCACTTCCTTACTTCAATAAATCCTAATCAAACTTTCCAAAGAAAGTTCCAAGGACATTGCTAAGTTCGTTGGTTGATCTTCTGTCCTATCTCAGTTTCTTGGAAGCGTTCA